ATTAGCGAATTCTAAGAGACCTTGTATTAGACGATACATGCATATTGCATATATATGTAGGCGTGAGCACATACAGTATAATATGTATATATTCAATAATATATTATATGTACTGTACGTGCATGGCCAGTTTTGCAGAACAAGAACGATCATCAACACAACCTTGTTGACTTTCATAATGTAAAATGTATGAGTCCGGACTCCGAGAATATTATTGTAAGAAATACAAGTATATTTTTTTGACAATCAGTAGTTTATTTTTGGGCAAATACTTAGTGCTTGCTTAGTTCCTATCTATACTACGTAATTATAATTAATAATTTTGTAAAATAATATATATAATATTAAATATTTGAATGTTGATCAAATTCTAATATACGTCTATATAAATTGAGTTAAGAAATTAGTTGAATAAATGCTATACAGAAAATAATTAATCTACAAGGGGCGGGCATGTATGTGTAGACTGAAAAGTGAAGACTTACTATCGACAGTGATAGTTTGAAGGTTGATAGCCCTTCGACTGTAAACAGAACATCGATAATAATTATATTATGCTATCTACGTTAAATATAGATTTTTGGGATTTTCAAGAAGATTTCGAAAATAATCTGTTGAAGTAAGTAATAACTAATACTCTAGGTAGGTAATACATTAAACATATTATCATGTTCTAGAAACTTACAAATTGATAATTCTAAAGAAATAATTAGACGTGTCAAACATTTAAAATATTTTTGACGATTTAAAAACTCGCTGAAAGTTTACATAACACTTTTGAAAACTTTAAATACTTTTTTACCTTTGTAAGTAGATACTTATATAATTTTGGTGTTAACAATATAAAATCGTCTTTTTAATAAGAACTTTTTAACAAATACATAAGTATTACCTACCAACCTACTTATTATTTTTATATAAGTGTTTACAATTTGAAAAATTATAATCGACTTATTACTACATTGAAGAAATAATAAATTAAAATTATAATACCGCCTTGCAATTTTAGCAAATATATTTTACATTATATTTATCTGGCATTTTATTAGAATTATTGTTATTTTTTTGTATACACTAAACATACATTTTTGTTTTATTAACGCCTCGAACACATGTTAGGTGCATTATCTGTATTTTATACATCTTATCATTAATAATATTATATTTTTTGAATTTTTATTATAACTCTAGTTATTAAGCATTTGACTATTTGAGTCATGAATTCAAGTGAATTCATGATATTCTGTTAACGATACTTTTTAAACCTCAATTTAAATAACATTACATTTTATGGTTTGTTATTGCTTTCAAATATTTACTAATACTTCCAGTAAATTATAAATTATAATACAAATACACAATACTAACTAGTATTGAGTTAAGTAAAATAAAGAGAATATTCTCTCCAAAAACGTTTACTTTCATATCTGAATATTTTCAGATGTAGTTAATAATATGTGTAATTGTATGTACCAGAGTATGTACAGTTATTATACTTATATGTATAAATAATAAATATATAGTAAATCGGGCTATAAATATTCTTGGATTTATAGATAAGCTCTAGTTATTTGTAAGCCTTGTATATTATCAATATAATACAACAAAAAAGTCCTAACTGTTGCTTATATAAACACGTTCTAATATAATACCAATATAAAATATTTGGAAAGAATAACAATATATTATTTCGTCATACTTAACCACTAACACTTAAAACAAACAATGAATAATAGTTATTTCTAACAATATTAATATAATAGTTTAAATGCTGGTTAAAATACTTAATAATAAAATAATATAGAGTTATGTGGGCAACGGGGCCATACATCATAATCAATACCCCAATCAATAATTTAAATATAAGAGTAAAAATGTATAAGTAAGTAGGTACTTATAACAATACAGAAAAAAATATTTTGGGAGTATATTATACAAATGTGAATAAAATTTAGATAGCTAGGTAGTTAATCGGAAATATTAAAACAAGGTATTTATTATTATATTTTAAACAAAACTATCTGTACGTTTTTAAAAATCATGAATTGTCATTATTGTAATTATAAAAATCTATAAGAAAAAAATTGTATTTATTTGATAGGTTGTTTAATTTGTTTTACCTACGACAAATCATTCCATATATTATTCAAAATCAAACCATGTATTACCTATTACATTATTAAACAGCTTTAAACTAACAATTTGAGCTATTATAATAATATGATATATTAAATAAAAGCATAGATATCCAGAGGTTTGAACTTTGAAGCTAATAATGTTCAACATCGTTTAACTTGATTTTTTTTTTTTAATATTTAGGTTTACATCTGGGTTTACATGATATATTTTTTTCAAAATTACCAACATTTATTTTTTAGTTAATGTCTTGATTATAGACAAAATTATAAATGTATACATTTATTATGAGTAATAATTAAGTAAATAACATGGTAAAAATAATGAGTAGATAGGTAATAAAAAACATAATATTTTAGATGAATAATATTTCAATTACAGATATATCAGTACCCATGTCAAAATCCTTGATACAATTGCACTTGATGTTTTCCTACAACACAATCTTATATGACCATCTTACTCAGCTTGTAGACTACCATTTATGGTTCATAAAAACAGATGTTTTGGTACTCACTATTTTTATACATTCCTAGAATAGCAATCATAAATTAAAACTAGTGGATTATTCTTCGACAATTTTGTAAGAGTTTATCTGACTTCCTATCATTATTTAATTTTAGATTAAAAAGTAATACATAAAGACTTGGGAAGATACTTTTCAAGTAACCTATATAAAATATTGCATATCACAGTTTTTATTCAGTATTAATCATACACCTCATTAGGTTTTATATTGAAATATAAAATAGGTAGAATCCGAGTACAAAATCCATAAACAATAACACAAAATATAAAACAGTTGGTATTATTTAGGAATTTATAATAATCTGATAATAATACTTGGTACCTAAACAATAACATTAATTTGTTTCATTGAATTTTAAATGTAAGTAAATAGGTATTACACATAGAGTCTGGTAGGCTGGTGATGACTCTTATTTTCTGGTAAAAATATTAATTATTAGACAATACCTGCTGAAGGCTACAACTTATTATTTAAATGCAAAAATCTGTTGGCTGGACAAGTAAGTATGCAGTTAATAAGTTAATGTCAAGTTACACAAACAATCACTAGGAAAACATTTAATGAATCAATACTGAACTAATGAGTAATGGTCTCTTAAACTATATCATTGTAGTGACACATATTTATTGATATTTAGCTATATTGACATAAAATGTAACTATACATTGGTACTAAAATAAATAAAATATTCAAAAAATTTTACTCTTAAATTTATGAAAATATACTTGATTACTAGGTAGACGCACCTAGGTATGTAGGTATAGTGTTGGACTATGCACTGCCTATACTATATTCAGTGTTGTACAAAATACTTTTTAAAAGTATTTAAGTAATTACTCAAATACTCTTAAAATAAAGTATTTAAAATACCACCCAAATACTATAAATAGTAAAGTATTTGAAATAATCTTCAAATACAAAAAAAAAATTCTTTTTACTTTTTAGTGCTGAAATAATTTGTAATAATCAAAAATTTGTTTTGGTAGGTACCTATTGCATTTTAAAAACATGATTTGTTCAATAATTAAAATTCTGATCAGCCATGTTAGTTGCACCACAACAATGAACTTTTCTATACCTACAAAGTTATATATTAATTCAAAACTATAATATGTATTTGGATATCTCATACCACCATCGACGATAAACGATAATGATAATTATTGATAAAAATTGTTTTGGTAAATAGGTAGTAGGTACTAATAATTACCTAGTAATAATATTTTCGTATAGTTAAATAATTAAAAAGTATAAACTATAAAGTATAATAGCCTATAAGCAGAAGCTTCTTACATATTATATAGGTATTTTGTTATTGAGTTAAGTTAATTATAGTGATACCGACTACAAATGTATCTTTTCGATCTTCGTCGACAATAAACTGTCTCCTGGAGAAAAAAAATATTTAATCGACAAAAACCGATAGGTACCAAATTGTCTGTGGGTGTTTTTATTCAACAAGAATAATTATAAGTAAAAACAAATTAAGAATTAAAAGAATAAAAAATAAGTATTCGATAAAATAGTATTCAATAGTAAAAAAAAGTAGGTATTTCAAATACCATTCAAATACTTCAAAATAAAAAGTAGGGTAAAAAGTATTTAAAAAAGTTTCAATACAGAAAAAAGTAATTGAATACTTCGAGGAATACTTTTACTCAAATACTTTACAACACTGACTATATGTCTATAGTATTGCACTTAACATACATAAAGTTACATTTCACATCATTCTATAAGCCTTGTATCTTGTTTAAGACAAACGTTAACTGTTCATAATGTTCATAATATCTATCAATTAATCTGCAGGTTGTGCTATCACTTATCAGTTTAAAAACACATCATGACAATTCAATATATAATTAATGTTTAATAATGCACCGTGCGTCCGTGCCTATTATATGGATAGGAATACATTATTTGGCCAACCTACCTGCCTACCTATCTACCTATACGTAATGAATAATACCTATTGCAAAAACAGATATCTCAGTTAAAGGTTTGTTTTAGATTTGATCCTCATCATTCTGATAGGAGGGCAGATATACCTAGGTACATATTTAAAATGGTAGGTACCTATATCAGTTACTCAAACTTTGTTTTCCCTCATAACATTGTAAGCGTTTAAATGGTCAAAGATCCAAATATTTGACATTTATAAAGCATGTTGGATTGACGAATAAGAACACTAATATCCACAATGATCCTTACACCGTTTAAACCGAGGTTTAAACATTATATGTACATATCCATATGTAAACGTAGAAGTGACTGTTTGTGACTACCTACTTATTCTATTGCGATAACATTGATGTAAGAACTGCATGGGACTCACCTTTCCAGTGGCTTTCTTGTACCGAGTGATGGCCTGTTGAATTAGATCTCTGACCAATATCTCTCCACGTCCACAGGGGACGATGACCCTAGTTGAACCAAAGCAGACTGTGACTTTCATCGTGTCGCAGTCGCATCACCAGCGTCTTGAGCACGGCATCAGTGCAATGTAACGATAATATTATTCTAATCGAACCGACCGACGACATTGCCAATTCTCGGTCGACAAGTCACCACCGTGGGGCTCGACATCGGCGTCTGGTACTTGAGAACAGTAGTCATAGAAGTAGAAGCAGAGGGTCACAGCAGTCGTTGTGTCGTTTTCACGTTCCTGGAGGCGACTCGAATATCGGGCTCGACGGACTAAAAGTACGACAAGTACCACCCCGAGTGGGTGCCCAAAATGTATTTATTAATAATAATATTAACGTGATGCGCGTACAGTCGATTGTACCTCCACCACCGCACGATAACGATAACGGCGATAATAAAATATGATAGTGAATCGACGACGTTCGGACTCGGCCGGCGCAGACAGCGATGTAATATCGTTGACCGGCTAAGCGGGGAAAAACGATGTTACAATATCGCGTGCGGACGGTTCGGCGTATCGTTTACCGTCGGAACGAGCGGAAAACGGCGCGGACGGACGGGACGAAAAACGGTCGAAAAAACCGAACGGCCGAACGGGGCAAACGGACGTGCGACGACGGCGGCGGCTGCAACGGCTATCATCAGCGTACGGACGGCCGTAGTAAACAAAGACCCATCCGGTGTGCAGTCTACGCGTGTGTTCCTGTGCGTGTGTGTGAGGTTGGCGGCGGCCCCGGTGGTGGCTTCGGCGTCGGCCGGTGACGGGTCGGCGCCGGTGGAAGGGGGAAAACGGCCGCAGATAAAATTACGAGGGAACCGCCGCCGCAGCCACCACCGCCACTCGCTCGCCTCTAAAACCGTTCGCACTGTTTTCCGTTGAATCGGAAGCGAGGCGGCGGCGGCGTCGGTTTCTGGTGATGCGGATCGGCCGCCGCCGAAACCGGTTTATTGATGTGTGCACAGTGCAGCAGACGCGAGACGTCGACCGTCGCGTCAGACGGCTCATTTCAATAATAAATAATAATGATGATGTAGCTGATGATAAATATTGCGTCCTCTCAGCGAAAATTCGTCAACCGGTCGCCGCCGAAAATCTATATAATAATATTATCATTATACCGGGTGATCCATTTAAAGCGTAAGTCGCACTCGTTGTTTCAATATCGCTGTAACTGCGGTTTTGAAAATATTTTTTTTACATAAGTAGTTTTAAGTTGTGAGAGAACAACATTTTTCTAAAAAAAATATAATTCTTATCGTCATCACAATAAATTGTTACATCTTTTACTGTTTTTATGACAACGTGCATTTTTAATTTCTTATTTAAAAGCAGATTATTTTTGTAGGCTGTAGTATTTCGATATAATAATATGTAAATCAAATTTTGGACTAGGTGTTTTGAGTTTATGTGTTAAAAGTAGGCCAGGGACGCCCGGAGACAAATGCACCACCTAAAAAAATTGTTTTTTATAATTTGAAGTATTCAAATAAATAATAAAAAATCATTCTTTGTCAATTAATTTTCGAAATCATGTCCAAAATAATGAAATGTTGAGAAACTGTTTCACTATATAAAAAAAAAATAGTACTTATTTTATCGATTTTTAGGGAATATTAAATATTAATAGCCAATAGGTATATGATACTATGGTTGTATGGTACATTGTACAGGCTTTAAATTTAAAACATTATAGGTACTCACAATTATTGTTATAATATTTCATATTTGCTAGTTAGGTACCTACCTATAATGTTTATTAATTGTACATGACCAAGTTTGATATTTTCTTTTTGTATACTTGTGTTTTTTAGTTAAGATATAAAGTGTTAAAAACGCCGAAAGTTAAACTATGAATACCAATGTTGCGTTTCAGTTGTAATTAGTACTTTCATAGTTTACAATAATATGTTTGTAATACGATTTTGTTCAACAGTATAAACTATAAATCAATATAAATGATTGTCTACTTGTCTCCAAATATGTCTAAGTTGTAAAGTATTTTTTTTATATACCTATTCATCTGTATGTTAACATTACACATACAATTTAACTTTAATTAGTTTAATTGATACATAGAAGATTACTAATAAAAATTACTAATATACTATATAAATAGTTACTTCATATTTTATAAGATAACCCAATTATATAAAAAAAACATGTACAATAGATTGATAAAAAGTATACAACTGTCTGTTGATTGTTTCGATGTCTATCTTAATTCTTAACATGATTTTTATACAGATAATATATGTTTTAAATTTGTTTATCACAATTATTTGATCATCAATATCAATATAATATATCATGTGCAGTGAACAATGAACATACATTGACTCCAATATAAACAGGATCTTTTATTCCTCACTGTATTAGGCTATTCGGTATATATTTTTTTACTTATTTAAAACATTGTCCACTTTTTGACGAGTACCTACTACGATCATGTTTAAAACTGATGCTTTCAAAGTTACAAAAATATAAAATATTTATTATTACTTCTAAAAATGCATGTAGTGCAAAACGGCATTCGAGAGATAATATTATTTTACTCGTTAATTCACGACACAACATAATATACATTATATACACCAATACTGGCAATACTTACTATGGGGTATAATCGTTTTCGATCAATTACGTCGTTATACAATAATCTATTACACATTTAAGTAAATTATTATTATATAGGTAGGTATACCTATATTGGCTATTACTGTTTTAGTGGTCCACATAATTTTTATGTACTTTATCCAATGAGTTTGGGCTAATTAGTTGTTTATATAAATTGCTATGTGTTTAAGTATAGGTACTATTATACAAAATGTCAATGGGCTTGAGATCGCACTTAAATAGTTAAATGTAAAGTATAAGTGCGGAATATTACCTAATACCTATACATGTCGAACGACTTGGTTATGACTTATGACAATACCTAGCTTCAAAAAATATGACATTACATTTTTAAAAAAAATACAAACATTTTGGAACAGTAATCTACTGAAATTGCGTTATTATTGTAGATAATTATATTAAGTGTAAAATAATATTTTCTGCATACGTGTAATTTTTACGTTTTTATTCATATATTTTATACTGCAAGATTCAAGAACTCAATTTGTATGACCGTTTTTGGAATTTTTATGCGACCCCCTCCCGAGTTATAATCGAAAAACTAATTTTCCTGTATCCCCGCCCTGGATTCGGAATTTTCTACTTTTTCCTACGCTAAACAATAAATTAAACATCATTTGTATGACCATTTAAACTTCTTTATTATATTTCTTACCTGTAGATTTTCTGAAAAATTAATTTAAAAGTTTAAGAACAACCGAAAAAAAATTGATTCATTTGGTACTAGGAAATACTATAATATACAGAGGAGAAAAATTGTTTTTAGTCCTAGCTTTACTATATAAATGAAAACAAAAAAAAACAGAAATTAACTAAAATGTCTAGACATGTGTTAGTGGCACTTGTTTTTTATTTATTTTTTATTTTTACAAGTAATATAAACAATCTGTATCAATTATACTATACACAATAAGAATATGTGATAAAACTATAAAAGTGAACAGGTCATGATGTTTTGTTGAAAGATGCCACCCATTGATAACAATTTTTGTTAGCTTGATAATTAATTAAATTTAAGATATAAGAGATCACGACACCGGCGACACCGCACTTACGATTCAAACGTCTTGGAGGATTTCCAGGTATTGTGAAGTGGCACTTGTAAATCATAAATCATAATCAGGCAGAAATAAACAAAAAAAGCAAAAATAATCAGAAATAATAAGATTTGTTTTAAAAAAAAAAACAAAAATACCGAGTATTTTTTAATTAGTAAAATATATTCATGATTCATCCATAAATTTGTATTGTTTCATAAAAAAAATGTGTACAAGATTATATTTCAAAGTAAAATGAATACCTGCATGGTGCATATCTATTACATAATTATAAAAATTAATATAAATTTTTTTCGTCAGACATATTTATTCGGGAATTTTAGGTAAAATACCCAATATTACATATTGTTGTATACGGATACAGTCAGTGATCCAAAAGATGATGATTTGAAATAAAGTTTTAGTCAATTTCAACTGTGAAATAAAGAATAGTGTATTTTTATAAATTATAATTGTACAGTAGTCGTATAAGTAAGGCATTGTAGAGGTTAAGCACTGTATCTTTAAAGAGCCCTAGTATAAGCAAGCTTGTATTTTTAGTAGCGTTCTTAATGCCTCTGTACATCTCAATATGCTGTAGTCCTGGCCTCTCCATATACGATGTCGGCTCCTTTGGTATGGACGTGGACGTGATATAGGCTCATGGTAAGTTGTTGTTTTCGTAACAATGTAACCAGCTCCACCTGGCTCTGGCCAATTTATTACGTTACCAAATTTGAAAAAAAGGCAAATAGATCGCGATTCATGGTACATACGATGGCAGTTAAATGTTACCTATAAATCTATTGATTTATAGTTTTGTTTACTTAGATGGTTATTTAGATGTTATTTGGAATAACACACAAGTGAAACTCGTTGTCCTCAACATATTATAATATAATAGGTATAATGTAATATGAATGCGTAAGGCCGAAGCTCGCGACAATATGGAGTATGGAAGCATAGAATTTTGTAGGACTCACAGGAAAAAACCAAAGGAATAAAATATAGAATGAAAATAAAATCCAAATTTGTATATTTATTATTTTGCTATCATGTCATGTTCAATTAGACATTTAGACATTAGTTATAACTTATAACTTATATTTTCTAATTACAAATGTAACTGGTAGACCAATAATCCACCAGAGCGGCAGAGAAAATATACTGGTTAGGTATACCTACTAATTATAATTATTTTAGGGATTTTACTCAATTTTAGTCTATAGGGGTAACCTAATTTTTGTAGGGATTCTAAAATTGTTTACTATATTGTACCTACTTATCATGACTATGACAAGACTTTTGTTAGTACAAAACTGGTGTAAAAAAATATATAACGATAATATTACCATA